CTAGTAAAATAATGGTAATCTTAAATACCAATATAAAAGAAGAGACACTTAAATAACTTCCCACAACTTCTGCCTAACCTTATATTAAACTCGAGCAGTAATTCCAACGTTGGTTCCTATCTCTGCAGAAGTACAGCTATATTTAAGTGACGCTATTTTGAACCTAACTAGCAATTTTCAGTAGAGGATCTCAAGGATTCATTAATCTCAAACACAAATTAATAAAACCCAACACACTTATGACAGAGAAATTGTTATTCCCATTTTACAGGTGGGGAAAGCTGCTGTACGAGGCTGCTAAACAAAATTTTCTAATGGTTACATAGGAAGTTAGAAGTAAAAGTAGGAACAGAACCCAAATTACTCTTTTACCCCAATCACTAACCCCTAGTCTAAGCATCAGACAGCAATTACTCCTACAAAGGAAATACCTACTTCATATTACACTATAAACAAGGAAGTGTTACCATCCTTGGTAAAATACATCCTGGTTTATGGATTAAAATAGTCAGTCTCTGGTTAATTCAGCTGCCACACACGTGCATTAAATCCTCGCACTGAAAGTCATCGTGAAACTTCAATTAATTTTTTCTCCCCCAAGTAAACGATAAAAGGTTTAAAAAAAAAAAGCAAGGCAGATAACACTGACCAAGAGCCTGGCCTTTTTCAATTAAACCCCCTCAACATCCTTATCTAACTATAAAATGGTAGTAAATGACAGCTCCTAGGAGGGCACAATGATTCCCTATCTCCTATAACTTTGAAATGAAAAGATCTTGTTTTTATTTTAGATACAATTTTAAAAAGTAGATCAAGTCCATTTACTTCTGGTCTAAAACTTGGTATCCTATTTTGACTCGCAGGAAGGTACTACTCACAAATTCAAAGACACTGGTCCAGCTCACTGTATTATACCCCTAACATCCTACAATGACTGTACTCCTGCGCTAATCCTTGTTAGCTGGGACACAAGAGACTGGAGGGATGGGAGGTGGCAGGTGGAGAAGAAGGAGCAGAATAAGGAAGTTTAAAGTTTAAGGAATAGGACGTTTCCTGCAAAAGCCTGCAGCATTTTTTCTCTGCCTCCTACTTACACTTCTCAAGCAAGACATGCTAATCCAGCAACCTCTCAGCAACAAAAGTATCCCTGCTGCCTTCTGTAGACATTATAAGTGTGATGTAAAAGGAATCATAACTCATGGCAGACAGAATAACTTTTATTAGACCAAGTAGATTTTTGCCAAAAATAAAAAATAAAAAAAAAAAAAAATAAAAAAAAATTATATTTTACTAGACCAATATGGCTACAACCTGGATACCTGACACAAGTGTGATGCAACACACCTAATGACGGTTTTTCCAAATTGTCATGCTGCTTTCCTCAAACTTCCGACTTGGGCGGCTGATCTACGAGCCCCGAGACATCTTTCATCCTGCTTTTCCCACTTTCCAAATCCCTACCCTGCTTCACAAATGAAAAGCTGAACTTGGGTTTCGAAGGGAGATCTCTGCATCTGTACACGTTGCTACCCCTCTGCCAAGAGACTGGCTTTGACATAAGTAACTGTAGTGATAACACAGTTGCGATGAGAAAGACTTCCCTTCTACACTTGTACATCTCACCTAAGAGCTTACCTAAGGTTTTAAAGTAATTCAATACAGCTCAGTTCAGTACTTTCAAAGAATATTTTCATATTGGGTACCAGGGGCTCTGGGTGTCTGTGCATAACTTGAGTGAAGGCATAATGTAAGGTTTCTGTCCGCTGTTAGGAAACAGAGATGGACAGTTGCTTAAACAACCCGGCCCGCTCCTTTGGAGACAAATAGTGATGCGAGTGCCCCACGTTTTCAGTGCCCAAGTGAAGGTACCATAAATAGGCCCGACTGACAAACAGTACTGATCATCCCATGCACAGAGATGCCCAAAATCAGACCTTTGAAGCGTATCTCAAGATAGATGCACAAAAATGCCCCCAAACCTATTACCACTTTTGAAAACCTCAGCCTGGGGATCATTCAGATGTCCAACTCTGTCGTCCCAGGACAAGTTCTGCCTGTGCTTATCCTGGAACAGAAACCACTGACCTTCCAATCAGGGTTTTTAGTGGGCAGGTGAGTGCGTTGCCACTTTTCGACCATCGATTTGACGAGGCGATCCTGGGACAACCGCTCAGATGTATTTTGTGACGTTCTGGAACGAACTGTTAGCACTTCTTAGTCCTGAAACCTTCGTAGCAGGGGTTGGCAGGATATAGCCTGAGGGCCAAATCCAGCCTGCGGAGCTTGGTGGAGGGGAGGTTGCCCATGCTCCCACCTGACCCACACTGAACTGGAGCTAGGCTGGTGTGGCCTGTGGGTTGCACAAGGCTGCCGGTCCCTGTTTTATAAGGCCTGTCCTGGAAGAACACCCATGGACATCTGAATGACTGCACTTTGTCCCAGGATAACACCATTTCTCCCAGGACAAACGCAACATCTGTTTGTAGCCTTAGCGCCAGTTTCTTTGGAAATCCCACCATACAATGCAAATGATTTTTCCTCGGTTCAGATAATCTGCCCATTAGTGAAGTCTCTGGACACACTAATCAAAGCCAAATGAAACCTCTTAGTTTCTTTTTTGAATATCAAGTGCTAAATCTATTTAAAACTTCAAATGTGTTTAGAAATCCTGCTAAGGCGACAACTTACTGTAATTCCTCTTGACAAAAAACAGATTCAGATGGATGAAAGATACATAAGTTGATAATTCCTTCCTGTTCTCTATATGATGTCAATAGTTAAAAATGACTGTATGTGTTAGAATAATTGTTTACAGCTATCTGGTGTCGACTTCAAGCACGTCACGCTGAATTCCTGCATCAAAATGGGAGGGCCAGGCTACAAAAATGTAGGTACAAATACATCCAGGAAGAACGAGAAGCCGCAGACTTTTCTGGCTGCCTCTGGACTGCTCCAGGAACATTACAGATGTTCCAGAGAAGCTCCAGTGGAAATACTGTCCATGCAGTTAAAGGTTTTTGATGAATAAATCCCACCACATCAGTGAAACCAAAAGGGGGAAATACTCAGAGCTCTTAAAATTGGAGGGAATATCGATCCTTTTAAAACAAGAGACAGTGAAAATGTCTGATTCAAGAATCCGGAAAACTTTAGGCACGATGGTATGGAGGATGACTGGTCTGGTGGAGGGAGTTTCACAAGTGCCAGCACGGTACCCTTCCATTCCTAGTGTTTTATGGGGAATATCTGAACCAGTTCTTTGCTATACCTGAAAACGGTCTTGGCTGAAGGGTCCTGTACCCTCCTAACCTCTCACCCTTGCCGATACTGCAGGGAAGATCTAGGCTGTTGCCTGCAGATCCACAGAGGTGAGGTTTTACCTCTGTTAATGGAGGTGCAGGAATATAGCAACAATTATTCTACATGCAAACTATAAGCACACAAAACTTCACTGCCGAAAGGAAGGGCAAAAAGACAGATGTGTTTGAAGCCCGCAACCCAGAGCATAAAAGAAGAAAGTGAGGCAAATGTGATTCTGGAGACCATTAAGGCTGTCCCTCAAAAAAGGTCTGATCTTCATGGGAGTGGACTCGATTTTCTGCATGGTTTCAGGCCCTCAAAAGCCTCCAGATATGTCTGAGGAAGGCAGGAGAGAGACTTTTGCTGCTGAAAAGTTGGTCTTCATCTTACCGCGTTGAAACAGGATGTGCTAGCACAGAGGGAATACTGCAGCTCCCAGAGCACTGCTACGAACCAGGTCTTGAATGCTTTCTTTTCTGTGCATTCAGGCTAAGTACAGACAGTCAAAAAGCTCCAGACCGAATCGATTCAATCTTTGCAGGTTAGCCTAGACTGCGTAGATTGAACCAATAGGCAAGTAAACATTAAGTTTTGACTCCAGAAATGCAGCCGCATGCCTGCAGTGGCCCAGGTCAGAAGCTGGGGGGTGCTAGAGCACCCTTCCCTGCTCAGCTGGAGCAGGCAGCTTGGGCCAAGGCTAGCCTGCCCACCCTGTGAGGCGGGGGGTTGTAGGGGAGATGCACAGCATCCTGGGATGCTGGAGGACTGTGAGTTGACTTAAATCTGGTGGGGATCTGGGACAGAAGTTCAATAAACCGATTTAACCTAGATCAGTTAAGTCTGATACTACATCCATCCAGGTGTATCTTAAACCAGTTTCAGCCATTTTGAAAGCAGTTTATCTGCAGTGAACTGTTGCGTTACAGATTTGAACTGGTTTCCAATCATTTATACCAGTTTAATGTGTAATTTCTGTCCCTAGCCTCAAGGATTAACTGCAACTTTTAAAGGAAAAAACCTGAAGAGAAAAAAAAAACAAACCCAATTACATTGTTCTGTCAGGATCATTTTGCCTGGCTTTCATGTTCTCCCCTCAAACGATAAATCTTTATCTTCTGCATATCCAGATGTGCTCCATGACCATAGTGGCAGAGGAGCAGTAAGATTTTTGGATAACTGCATTTAAAATGTAGACCGGATTACTGACCTTGTGAGAGCCGCAAGAAAATCTACAATTGGACCCCTTAAACTTTTTTATTGAATCACAGAGACTATTAAAATGTGCATGTTCCAGAATTTCAGTACATTCCTGAACAAGGGAATGATCAACCTTAAGTATTTGTAAGCTGCCCATCTAGATACGCCCTCCGAAGTGATACTTTAATATAAGTTGCATATGCTATATGTGCATCCTCATGGCATTTTAATAGCATCTTGTGCAAATATAGATTTATCTGAATGCAAATTTGGCAAAACCTGTAGCAAATTCATTTTGGCCCCCCAAATCTACTGACAACCACTGTGCATGGGAGACTCCAGAGGTGCTTAGGCCAAGATTCTCAAAAACATGTAGGCACCTGACTCCTGTTGACTTAGGCATGTAAATTGGGGGGTTGTGCCTAAACCGTTCTCAGGATCTGTGCCTCAGAGATTCAAGGGAATAGACAGTCCTGACAATATAGAAGAAAAATGGAATTTACCATGGAGAGGCGATCCAGATGGGCTGCTTGACAGGCCTGGGACAGGACTACAGCGACCTCCTTGTTTAGACGTCAGCTCCTGCTCAATTTCCTCCAACCCTGCGCTCTTTTGGAAGCGGCTCATGCGGTTTACCACCCGGGGCGACATGTGCGTCCGAACGCAAGGCTGTCCTCCATACGGATTGATAGGGAAAACATGGGAAGTGCCACGAAGAGTGCTGACCACTACCCAGCGACAGTCATGGCTAAAAGATATATCTTGTACCTGGAGAAAGGGAAAATTAAATGGAAATGTAGGCACCGTTTCACACAGCTCTGACAGCAAGTGAATTATCATGTTATAACCGAAGAAATTAATCAGATACATTACATGCAATCTCAGTTTAAGTTAGGAGCAATGGTTTTGGTTATATATTTGTGATGAAGCCAAGTCAAAGGCCTTTGCTACAGCTTTAATATTGTTTAAGTACCATTCCATACCATGTGCATTACTTGAAGCAGTAAAGGGTATTATTGATAGTATTTTGAAAGTTCTCTCTTAAGTAAGGTCCCAACTCAATAAAAAAAAAATTGCCATGCAGAATCCCACACAAAGCCACAGGAGCCTACTGCAATTTCTTAATTGAATTTGGTTCCAAAAGAGAAAAGATTCAGGAAACTATTACAACTATATGCTTTGCAGCACGCAATGAACACATTATTTACTTGCTCATTTTCATTCTCAGGAAACATGAAAAATAAGAGGTAAATAATTACCAACAAAAACTGTCTTTTCATGCCAACCATTTTGATGTGGTCTAGTGGTTCCAAGGGAGAACTAAGAGTTAGGATTCAAGAGTTTACTCTTTGGCTCTGGATCTAAATGCATAAGCATTGACTAGTTATTTAAATGCTACCGCCAAACTTTTCAAAAGAGATCTCTTGTTTTTTGGATGCCCAATTTGAAAAATATTGGGCCACAGATACATAGCTGCCAGCACCCATGACTCCAGCTGAAGTCCATGGAAGCTGAAAATGCACAGCACTTATGAAAGTCAGGCTCAAGCAAACACAAACTGGACCCCCAAAAAGTTGTGGACACCCAAATCAGTGGCCACTTCTGAAAAATGTTGGTCTCTGATACTGTCTCAGTTTGCCCACCAAAGGCAAATGCTTCTCCTAACTCATAGAAGGGAGAATGTGTTTCCTAGTACAGCACTTTTATATCTTAAGATGAAAAACAGCACCTATAGTCAGACTATAATGAATAAATACACTGCACACATACAATTCCCTTACACACCCACACGGGAGCCCTGAAAAAAAAATTTAGTTCTAATTAAAAAAAAAAATTCCTAGAGATGGGAGAACTTTTAAAAAAATCAGCTTGCTAAAACTGCTTTAATTAATTAATTAATTAAAAGAGAAAGCTCCAATCAGACTGGCTCAACTTTTTTTTTTAATGCACATGTAGACCACTAGCTCCATTTTAACTTTTCCCTATATATCATCTAGAATTGAGACAAAAATGAAAATATATTTTGTTAAATACATCGGGATCATTTTACTTTGTGTATGGATCTCACAAAGAAAGCCCCCAGAAGATTAAATTCATTTCTAAGCATGCTTTACATAACACCTTGATGGAAAACAAATCCCTGCTCCTTAAAGACTGCTTTAAAAAGGAGATTATGCTGTGTGTCCAACACAATATTGGCAGACAACTCTAGGAAAACAGTAGTCTAGTTTAAAATGATTTACCAAAGAAAGTCCTAAAACAATGCTAAGAAAAATATTTTTAAAAAGGTAAAAGTTGGTTAAAAAGAAGTATATACATGAGTGGGATTTAACATGGCAACACACAGAGGAGAAGGATTAGTTTTCATTATATCATTAAACAACATAAGCTAAATAAAACTCTTTGAGTTTTCACTGAAGCCAGTTTTACAATACACTAGGTACTCCAATTGTAGTAAACACCGATACAATCTTGAAAAATATTCCAGAAATGCACTCCAAATATTCCAGACAAAAGCAGCAAGTCTTCATCAAAGTGGAAGTTTCCAACTGAGCCCTGAAGCCTCCGAGATAAAGGGATTTAAGTCTTGTGACTTGTGACAAGATATTTGGCTGACAGACTGTCACTACACAAAATGCTTCATCAACATTACACAGATAAACCAAAAAAACACCATTACACACCTGCTCTTTTCAATTATGGTGACACGTCCAAATGATCTGCTAATGACAAAGTTAAACAGCCTCCCAGAAATCTGACAGGTTTAGCACTTTTGGTGATGCAAGTATTACTGGTATAAAGTTGTCCACAAGCAGTTTCAAGCTCCTCGTTTGCCTACAAAGAGTTTCACCTTTTCAAATGGCTCAGAATGGATTAAGGGCTCAAAAAGGAAGAATAAAAGCAAAAACAAAAAACCCATCAGCATGAAGCCGGAAAAAAAAAAGAATTAATAAGCATTTCAGTATCAGCCTGTTCAGAGAGACAATTCCCCTGTATCGGAATCAAGTCCAAGAGCTGACATACTCGATTACAACACAATATTAAAAAGTACTTAAAGCTTTGTGAGCTCTTTTTCCAAACTTCGCCATCTTTGGCCTCTCCAAAGCCCTATTTTCCTATGTAGAGACTGTTGATCCTGCTTTCCTATGCCCAGCACCTTCCCCACCGACCAAAAATACCTCCAATGGACTTAGAGCAGGGGCAGGCAATTGTTTTGAGTGGAGGTCCGCTTACTGAGTTCTGGCAAGCCATTGAAGGCCACATGAGAGGCAGCCAGGGACAGATCATTATTAATTTTCTACATTTTTTAGGGGCCCCATGGGCCGGATAGAATGGCTTGGTGGGCCGCATGTGGTCCACAGGCTGCATTTTGCCCACCCCTGACTTTGAGCAACATTTCTCTTTACTGCTGCTAAAACACTCCCTGCATTTGGCTCCAGCCTCTCTCATGGGCATTGCCTCTCGCACCTGCTCTTTCTCTCTTACTCTGCAATTTCATGGGACAAAATCCTTCCCTTCTTCTATTCCTACCAGCTGAAGCAAACTCTACAAGCCTCTCCGCTGAACTAGCAGCTTCTGTAATCTCATCTAAAAACTTATCTTCACGACTGCCTAAACCTCTTCAATCTTTCCTCCACGTTGCTTATGTTAACGCATTTTACCAGAAACCTCTTTACATCGCTGCCTTCTATCACATACATGATGTGCAGTGTGTTGTACATGGTTTAATTTGGTAAAGCGCATAAGATCACATTTCTATTGAGATGACATAGAAGGAAAAAACCTCACTGGATTGAACCTCACGACAGAAGTATGTACATGTTTGTACTATTATTAGTGTTCAGGATGCATCATCACTTCTGTTTACATTCTAAAAAACCCAAAAACATTCAGAATAAGGCCCAAACCCTCACTCATGCCAATTTGGAATTGGGAACTGGAATGTAATCAATGTAATCTCTCATCACAAGCTGAATATCACTGAAGTGACGTGTGCCTCGACCAGCGATCCTCAACCAGGGTGCCGCGGCACCGTGGGGGGCCTTGAGATCCTTTCAGGGGTGCTGCGGGATGCTGCACACCATCGGGTGCGCAAACATGATTCACGCAAGATAAACCGAATGATTTCAAATTACAATGTAAACTGTAAAAAAAAGTTGTGATCTTTCTGAGTTCTTTGCAATAGAAAAAAAATTGCTGTATTATTGTGCCATAATCACAAAATGACTGCTAAGAGCTCGCATTCTCCGAGGGATCATCTTGAGCCTAACAACTGGTGCCTAGATTGAGCACCACTGGCCTGGACAAAATGGAGAGAGATTGCTGTAGCACTGGCCTCAATGTTCCCTTGAAAATAGAGCACAAATGACCCCTATCTTAACCACAAATAATGCACAATGAGGACGGGGCTAGAAGGCGGCTGCAGTTGGATGGAGTGAAAACAGAGGGCCAAGCAAAAAAAAGAAATGTGTTTTTTTTAAGAGCCCCGTCAGGAAAAAAAAGTGCTTCTGACAAATGAGACTGAAATGACCAAAGATTTCAAGAAAATGTGCGCAAAACAGTGTACTCTCAGGAGAGAAAAATATCTGGATGCTCGATTGATGCTTTCCTCGTGGCACTTATCTCCTCCAAGCGTTAAGCGTGGCTGCCTTTCCCATACAGAAGGCAAGCAGCAGCAAAGTGAAAGGCTGGAGGAGTTCAAGGCAGGGTATGTTTGCAGTTTCAGAGGGTGTGAATTAAACGCCTTATTTTCACGCAGCAAGAGCATAAATCCACGTGTGCAATTGCAGCGAACACTTAGCTCCTTTTTCTTTTCTTTTTTTTTTCCTGGTGCTTATAGGAAAGGGGCGGACTAAATTTAAGGTCAGCACGCTGTTGGGACCAAGTGTAATCTCATCAGCCATCGCTTCAAAGATCAGGTCTTTGTGTCCATGAAAGACGTTTAAATGATCACATCAAGCCTGCCGCTATCAGCCGCGCTCTTACTGTGCATTACACAGAGTTCTTGCCTCCTCTTAGTATAAACACGCTGCACAGTGGCCCATTAGTGGTTTGCAAGTTTATGCTAAGCGTTGCAATTTATTGCTGTCCTTTAGGTTAAAGTACTTTTATTCCATGTATTTATAACATATTTTTGCATTTGTTGGTAATTATGATGTAATGTTTGGATACTGGAGATCAATCAGGGCTCCATAATGTTTTCGGAGTTACGTTAACAAAGCAGACCTTTCATAGTTCAAACTTTACCTTGCGACTCAAGGTCAACTTCCGATTTAACATTCACACCTTTATTTCTAAGGTTTTCCCAACTTTGGTCACCTGCTTCACAAAATGGAAGTTATATATATATCGCGTTTTGGCTAGTTTGGGGAGCTTTCAGGCATGCAATTTTTGTTTTTTTTAAACCTCATGTATAAGCTATATGATTAAATGTTCTCTGGAATGGATGTCAGGATTTCCCTTGGATTAATGCTCTATTTTCCCAGTCTAGTTTTGCCTGGGCATCTAAATCACTTTGTAAACAATTTAATGTTCTTTACACATCCCAAACTTCCAGTGAGATCACTTGGTGCTCAAGGAATACAGAAAGAGGCCCTTCTCCTGGTCAGTAATACGTAAACCTTTGAAACTAAAGGAACGTTGCTACCAGGGCTGGACACAGGCATGAGTGAACCAGGCGGCCACGCGGGGCCCGGACACAAGGGGGGCTTGAAAACGGAAATTGTTTTATTATCGTCATCATCATTCTCTCTGACAGTGGGTGGCCC